TAAGATTATTACTGAACTGTTGCATATGAGCTGTGCAGAGAACGATGTAAACTAATTAGTGTAGCTTGGAAATTTAGGTGTGAAACTTGTTTAGGAAATAGTACTGAAAGGAGTGTTCAGTAAATCCTTATGTAGAATGAAATTTGGTGTCAGTGATTGAATTACCATGGGTGTGAAGTGGGGTAGTGAATCATTTCCAGGCAGCCTGCAGGGCTTTTGCTGTCTGGGGTTTGAAGAGTGTACAGCTGAAAGAAGAAGTGGTTATTCAGTCTTATTCATCCACAATTCAAAATCTTTAACTCAAGCTCTTCAGTGTTTCAGAGACATGCTCCTTTGTTCTGCTTCTGTTTGCCTAGACTTCCTTCCAGAAATTCAGGTTAATTTAAGTATTTTTAGAGCTATTATTCTTTTAGCAATGTATCAGTTCTCAAGTTTGCACCTGGATTGGATGGCTAGAGCTGCAGCAGGTGCAGAATCAAACTGCAGAGTGACCTGGATTGATACAGAGCAGTGGGCTTTAAGCAAATGAAAGGCCATTTGAACATTAATGCTCATAGGCAAGAAAATGGAACATATACTCAAATGATGATGAAGAGTATAATTAGTCCAATAAGTTGATGCATTAGGATGCATCTTGTCATTTCTAGTCTAATTTTTTTTAAATGAGAGAAGGCACTCTGATACATGGTGTTGCTAGATAGGTAGTGATTGATGAACCACACTGAAAAAATGTATGATTCTTTTGACAGTCTTTGGGTCATTGAATTATAAAATTGTCATCATAATACATGCAAGGACTGGAGAAGAAAAGATAGTCTTAATGTTAACTTATGATAGTTCATGTTTTTGAAGCACTAGAATTGTTATGTATTAATAGTTATTGTGTTTAGTCTCTTGAGATGTAGCTTTTAAGGCATTTGTTGATGTTGGTGTTTTAAACAATACTTATGTTTACAAGAGTGGTTATATTTGGCAAACAGAAAATGTTGTAATAGTTTGTCATAATATATTAGTGTAGGGCTTTGCTTGCTATTTTTATGCTTTAGTGTTAGACCTGCATTTAAAATATTTAACATGGACTGCTTTTTGCCTAAAGGAAATGTGCATGATAATTTTGTTGCAGTTTTATTGGGAAATCTGTATGTATTGAAGACTCTTAAGTAAGTTTTGTTTAAAGAGTTGTTCTGTATTCCAAGTTTAAAGGTAAAGTTCATGATACTTTTATTGAAAGGGCTATTTTCTCCTTAAATACTCTTTTCTTAGTAGATGGTGTATAATTTTAACTGCTTCCTTTATTACCATGAGTGAAACTGTGATTTTGACACTGAAGTCGTGAGCAAATTCTTGGCCGGGCATTAGTATCTAATCTCTGTGCTGGTGCTTGACTCAGCAGCACAGGTTCAAGTAGGTTTGGGAGGGAGAGGAGAAACAGACTGCTTTTTATGTTCTTAGTCAGAGGACATAGTACAGCATTTACACTGTACAGTGGGGGCATGTCCCTTGGTGCTTCAGGTTGCTCTGTGTTCTGCTACTCTTTACTGTGTTCTGTGGTTTCTCTTGTATCCCAGGTCTGCTTTTGAGCAGCTGCAGCAAGGTCAGCCACTGCCCTTGGAGAATGCTCTGGAAGAACTGCATCTCCACTTTCTAGCCGGGTCTTTGATTGTCTTTTACAAGCAGCTGCATTAACCTGGCTGTCACCCTCAGCAGTTTTTGAAGTGGGAATGCAGCTGTAACTGGAGTCTGTGACTTGGAAGCATTTGTTTCCTGCTTTACTCAGGCTGTATACAGTGAGTGGTGCTGAAGGTACTAGTATGTGACCAAGTGTACAAACAGTTGAGACCTTATAAAAAGGCTCAAAAGTGCAAGTGGCAGAGCTCTCACATGTAGCAGTGTTTATTTCTGTAAGAAAAATGAATGGCTGAATGGTAGGACATCACATGGTAAATGTGAGAGGATCAAATCAAAAAAGCTGTAGGCTGAGAAAAGAAAACCGGTGCTGTTACCAGTTAAAGGAGGGTTGTTGGGGTTATCTGGAAGCTGGTGATGTTTTACTTTAATTGACCAGTTGCTTGAGAGTTTGAGGCAGGAAATTTGAGAGCTGGTAGGCAGTTTGGGAGGTGGTTTCTTGTACTCATCCCACCCTACCTGCAGGTAACAGACCTTGGGGTGCCCAGTAGAACTCACAGTGGCTGCAGTAACTGCAGGAATGTAAGTGGGTATCTACAATCTACTTTGCCCATTTATCATCTCTTAGATTTACATTAATGTACTCTGTTATATTGACAGATGATCATAACTGTTCTGTTTACTACCTGAGTAGTTGTTAAATAGCATTGAAAGGCCTGTGTAGCTGCTGGAAATGTTTAGTAGGCAAGAGCATGGGTTCTGATGCTTGAGGCAAGAGGTGGCTCTTACGGATTCTAGTTTGTTTGCTGTTTGTGCCAGGAGGAAGGGTCAGCAAGGCAGGGAGCAGGAAGCTGATGAGAGCCAGAGCTCTGGTTAGTGGCTCTTGTGGCTCATTAAAGGAATCAGGACACATTTTGTGAGAGACCTGGGGAGATCATTGCAAAAGATCTGTTGAGCAGACTTGTTCCCTTCCAGGTGCCTTTTTTTTTCCCCTTTGATGTGCTTCTTCACTGTGCTGCTGGCTCTGTCGGCCTTTATTTTCTTTGCAATGCTCATAGAGACTTGGGTTAGGAGTTTTTTAATTAATTGAGAAAGAATGCAAAGTTTCATTAGGAAAATAAGTTGGAAAGGAGTCCAGTGGAAAAAAACAACCAAACAAACCTGAAACAGGGAACAAACATGTAGAACTATTTACAGAACTAGGATTTGTGCTGAGAATAAAAAACCTGTGGCAGACCAGGCACAACAGGGGATGCTGCTTTGCTGCTCCTTTTAAGGAGTGTCTGTATTCTTTGGAGTTTGAGAAGAACATCTGGTTGAAATAGTTGGAAGTTCTCCTTGTCATAGGCAAGAGGAATCTGTAATAGGTCAGTCTGGAACAGGAAAAGGTTCCTTTGTTGGTGACCTTCTGAAATTGATAAACAACTTTCAGCCTAGATTATAAACACCACTGATTTATGTCACTCCAGGTCAGGAAAAGCATCTCTTAAACTTAGGAGAGCTCTGCCAAATATTCTGCAAGGCTCCAGGCAACACCTGAAAAATCAATATGCCCCTTGCTGAAAAACAGTGACCTATACAGTCACAAAGAAAGCTGTTGTCCATGGAAGTGTTGGTCAGATGCAACTTCACTATCTTTACCTCAAGTTCAGCTGTTTGAGCCCTGAGCTAAGACTTAATGTGTCTTGGGGCTGGGAGGAAACGTGGTAAGGCAATATCCACTTATAAAGGCAAGCGACACATCATTCATGTCTGTCTTGCAGATGTCTGTGCCTGCATATTGCTTTTTCAGAATCAACTCTGTATAGTTCAGAAATGTTAAATCTGGGAGGGGTGGCCTTGAGAAGTGAAGATGAAGAAGGGCTGGAGCTGAGATGACTGTGTAAAACAAAATACAGTCAGTAACACTCAACGTCACCTCTTGGTCGGTAGTGGTAGGTCTGGTAGCATAATTGAAGGAGGTGTGTGGGGGATAAGGGAAAACCAAAAGCAGTTTTCAGAAAGTAGATACCTGTCTCTGGTGGGAGGAGTATGATCGGTTTTCAACTCTTGGTATATTTTACTAGACACTGGGAAGTTAAGTCTGTGAAAATTTTCTGTGACACTTGCTGCAAGCATCTGATGATCTCCCTAATCTGAGGAAGAAAGAATGAGCAGCCATAGATGCTTCTCAGAGCATCTGCATTGTTTTCAAGGTTGTCTGGTTTCAGTTTAAGTTAATTCACTCATTATAAGAGTAAGAAACTCTTAACAGTCTTGAAAATATTTTTCTTGAGCTTTTTGTCAGTTCAGGCATGAGCATTAATTTGAATTTACATTATTTTTGGTCTGTTGTGGTTTTGTGTTGATGCATTATATGAAGGTGGTGTAATAAATGGCAAAAGATCTTCCAATTCCCAGTAACTGTTCTCCACAGTATCAGTTACCTTTACCCCAGTCTAGTTGAAATAGCCCAGAAGTTGCTTAGGTCTAGGCCAATGCTTGCTTACTGTGGTTTAATTGGTGGTTACTATGCTATTTAACTGCATGGTTGCTTGATGGAGTCAGTTGACATTAGATGCATGAGGCTACAGAATTTATAAAAGGATAAAAGTTTACTTGCAGGTCCTGGGTGGCAGTATTCAGGAGTTGACTTTGATCTTAGAGCACTAAGAACAGGAGGACAGAGAAGAAATATTCAAAAGCAAACAGGCTAGTGACAGCAGGTTTAGTCACTGAGCACTTGTAGGCTTCTGGCACTTACTCAGCATGAATTCAGTCTAATTAAAACTGCTAAGAAAAGACCCAATCCCAAAACAACCCTTTTTGTCACCTTTAGTCTGGCAGAGTGAATTTATGTAGATTCTGTCCCCTGTGTGATATGACAATGACATGGATGCTCTTCTGCACTCCAGAAGTTAATTTATCATGTTAAGTGGCCATAGTGTTATAGTCAGCATGTAAGCTGGTTTCTTAGTAAGTCTATTTTTCCATTAATACAACTACAGGCTGAATGTATTGCATTGTAATGCCTTTTGGGAATATGAGGTGCTTCTTCATTTTGTAGTGAAGAGAATTTCTGAGACTGCAGGCATATTATAACCTATTCTCACAAAGATAAAAATTTGTATCTGTTCTTTGAACGGCTTGAATGATTCCTTGCAGCAGGAAAAGTTTACTCTGGTTACAGAGAGCAGGAATACCAAGTGAATGTCTAAAGGAAACACAGATTTCCTGAGTGCTGACCAGATTTTGTGTTGGGAACAGATCCTGAACCAATACCAACAGCAAGATTCATTCTTCGCAAAAATCATTTCAGATATTTCCAGTGTTGTTCATTTAGACATGATGTCCCTGTGTGTATATTTATTTATGAGAGATGTTTTCCCTTGCAGAAACGGAAGGCTTTAAAATTGATACCATGGGTACCTATCACGGGATGACTCTGAAGTCTGTAACGGTAAGCTAGAAAGTCTTTGATTAAATATGTTTTACAGAAATTATGGTGTACTTATATCTTGTCAGCCTGGTCCAGGCTCTGGGAGATCACTTAGGCTGACTAACAAGAGTTAATAAAAGTGCTTCTCTTCACTCTTAAAAGCCAAAAGATAAAAACATGTTTAGATTTGGTCTGCACATCTTAGAGATCTTTGCTCAAGGGATTTGTATGCAGTAAAAAGTAGTGCTGGGAAGGCTTTGCTGGCAGGTTCTTGTGGAAGTGCTGCTGTTTTTTGCTCGACTACACTAAGATACCAAGATTTTTGCTATTCTTATGTATGTCTACGAAGGGCATCTTTCATAATCGTAAGGAATAAAACTAGACTTGCAAAACTAGTGTAAGAAAACTAGGTTTTGGAATATTGCTTTGGTTCCTACTCTGCATTTAATAACAGTAGATTTATTTAGTGGTGGATGAATTTGACTTCTGTGTTGTGGCGGAAGCTTCCTAGACTAGTGAGATGAAATTCTTTTCTATGACTTTCCAATGGTGTCAGTGGGAATTGCTACGTCTACAGATGAAAAAGAGAGACCCTAAAAAGAGATACTTTTTTTTTTTGCCAATATTTGTCTGCTTTTGTAGAAGTAAGTTCAATGCTCTCAAACAAATGCTGTTTTGATCTGCTAGTAAGTAGGACAGATGCTACAAAACTGATGTAGAGCCCTCATTAAGTTTTTTGCCATCTGTATACCTATATAAATCTGATGAATAGGCACCACTAAACTCCTGTATCCTGGATACTCCTGTATCCATGCACTACTTCTATTCTGCAGTCCTAATTTGAACATAAAATAGTATCTTGAATGTAATTTTCCTATAAACATTTAGGGCTTTTTCGTGTTTGATAAAAATTCTTGCCCAAGTATTTAATTCCCAATCTCCTGTGGACTTGAAATATTTATTTATTTTTTTTTTAATTGGAAGGGAGTATTTTAAGGAAGGAATCTATCTAATTCTGAACAGTGTTATCTTTAGATTAATTTGGGAATTTATTAGAAAGAAAATAGCCCATTGTATCTGAAAACTTGTTCTTGAATCTTGCATGACTTTAGTGCTGCTGTATTAGGGATAAAGCAGTGTTGTCATCCCAAACTCATGTTTCTATGGTATACTGTATCTATTTCAAGTGGTAGTGACTTAATAACTGACTTAGTAAATAGCTTCTTTTTAAATTGCCATGTGGGGAGGAAAAAGAAGAAAAAAAAAAAAGCAGGTTTCTAGTAAATTAAAAATGTTGAACTGTTTTATGCTTGTCAGTATAAAAACTTGAAAAGCAAAGGGGTGAAATGTGAAAATGGTCTTTTTTTGAAGTTTACTAAAGAATACTTAAGGTCTTTTATTCTTGGAGTCCTAGCTCACATATTCAGCATACTACCTAGAGTTTTTAGGTAGAGTTATTAAACTGTCCCTGCTGGTTCATTCCATTAAAAAAGGAAACTGATATTAAATTACTCTTAAATCTTTTTGCACCATAAACTAGATTAATTTTTTTAATAACTGCTTCTGACTGCACATAAAGCATCATGCAGTGTCATGAAAAATATTAAAACTCCATCTATCATTTAGGGTTTTTCTAAGAAAAAGCTTGTAAGGAATTTTTGGAGCCTTATTTTCCAGAGTATTAAAAAGGTACCCTAAATGTTTAGCTCATTCATAAGTTATGTTGACATATACTGACTTTTTGTTTCAGATGGGGGAGAAATAAATCTGTTCATTATGTGGCAATGAATTGTTCATCTGTTTTTGTCTGAACTTTGTCACAATGATGGCCCACATAGTTCTAACCCATAATCTTTAGATTGTTGTTTTGTATAGAATGTTAAATCTCCTACTAGTTGGCAAATTTCACTTTATGCTTTTATTCAGTTTTTTTTGGTCGTTTGTTCCAATTCTTTATGCTAGACAAAACTAGGGAGGAGATAGAGAACAAATTCTTCCCCTAGAGGTTTGATGGAAAAGCACAGTATGCTCATTGGCTAAATCATAGGAATCTGAAAGACAGGTAACATCATGTAGGTAGAAGGCAATTCTGTGCTGCCATCTTCATAGTACTGATATAAACCCTTTTGTGAACTCATCAAATGTTTCAAAGGGATTCAAGTATTAGGTACCCTCTTTGTTAGAAGCTGTTTTCAAACTTCAGACCTCTAATTTCCAGGTGAATGATGAAATTAAAAATGTTCATTTTTCTGGTATTGTTCTCCTTGACTTAGGCAGCTCCTCCTTCTATGGTGTTTATTTCCATTAATGTATTTATAGAGCACGGTCATTTTCTCTTAAAAATTCTTGTTTTGCTTGGCTAAACAAGTTGTCTTGTGAAATAAACTTTTGATTAACATATGAGCTTTCCTTCTTTAGTTATGCCAGTTAGAATTAATCTTTTTTTGAGCATGGAGAAGAAAAATTTCATGTGGTCTTCTAAGTGAGATCTTGCCAATGGTTTGCAGAAAGGCATGAAGAATTTCTTACTGCTTCTGAAATTATAAATATTGTCTTGAAATGGATGAATTACGTATTTACTTAGCTTTGTTTTTTATCACTTTTTGTATCTTATTTTTGCTTTAGCTTCAACTTTGGTTTTAAGTTGTATGTTGGTTGTTTATCCTAGTGTGGTTGTTCATTTGAGTGTTTAGCATTGTTACTACCATCTATGCTGACTTTTGTTGTCTCTGTGTTACAGTGTTTCCTTTGGTGTCCTTGTCATACCTTGTCCTTTATTTTCTTTGTCTGAAGGAAACAGCTTGTTTTGATGGTTAGTCTTCTCTTTAAAAGGTTGACGGAGTCATTAGCCTCCAAAAGTTTTGATCTTGTTAGCAATTGGAAAAAACTTAGTAGACATATGATTACTACCTGGAGTGTAAACTGTGACCCACTGTCTGGATTTGCCCACCTGCCTCTCATGTAAAATTTTTAAGGAGCTTTTATTTGTCTCCTGCTGTATTCCCTACAGGTCTTCCACTTTCAATCTGCCTTACTGTAATTCTCTATAATGATTTTTATGAAATGTAAAAAACTTCTGTTTTGTGTTTGTTCTTGCTGAAGTGTGAGTTGTCCTAGATGCTTGTTCTTTTTAAGAGCAAAACAAAAACTTCTCCATCTTGACTGCTTTCTTTTCATCAGTGAAGTTGGAAACTTTCTTAGCAGTCAGAATTTGTGCCAGAACAGATGGTGAATGGTGGGCTTTTTCTGAAGTAATGTCAGCTAAAATAACTTGCACTGCTGGCAGTTCTTCTCTCTAACAGGGTTTTTGCTTAATTGGCACACATACTTTCTCTTAGGAAGAGCTGACTTCTTTAATGGATCTTTATTGCGACGGCATGATTTCATTATTCTGGACCTGGACTTGTTTATAACAAGACATCTTTCTCAGAAAGCTCTTTTGAATACCTGTAGCACTTCTCTTTGCCTGGATTGGTGATGTTTTGGAATCAAGTAAGGTAGTGGTGGTAGCTCTTGCTGTCTATTTACCTAGCAGTTCATGTTGCAAATTGCAGCATGACTTTCAGAAACCTCCAGGTCTACCTCCAGGCTTCACTTCAAAGCATAATCCCCTGTCTAGCTGGCTGACTTCTGTTTCTTCAGTAGGAAAGTTCACTTATTGAAATAGATCAAGTAAGAGCTATGGAAGAAAATATGTTAGTATTTTCGTGCCACACAGGGTGCGAGGGAATGCTCACAGATTTTTAAGCTGATATTCTCAGCGTGTTTGTTCTTACTTGTGTAAATTTGACATGTTCAGGTTCTGCTTTTCTAAAGATAAATTTTTAACTTGAGACACTAATTCAATGTCCTTTAGTGAAAGCCTAGAAAATGCATCTGACCTTTTCTTTTACATAAAACTGAAATTAGATTTTGGACTTATGATTTTTGTAGCTACAATATGTCTGTTATTTAATTGTTGCTACAGCTTGACATGTCGAGATCAGAACAAACTAGCTACCTGCACATAACACCTTGACACAGTAGTAGTTGCTTGTTCTTTGAGTGTCTAATAAAGCTGGGTTTATAGATTGGTACTCTTCCAAACTCAGGGCAGGCTTTGTATTGACTCTGCACATAGAAATGATGTTTGTTTCTCCATGACAGTAATAGTCATGGTCATGATGGTTTTACTAGTTTTTGGTTTTTCTTCCTTAAGTTTTCATGACCTTAATATGAAGGAAAGGAATAAACTGATAGTCTGTGGAGTTCTGAGAGTCCTGATTAGTCGTGAGCTGTGATTCAGTGTGGTTATAAACTTGGGTGCAAGCAACATCTGCATGGTACTGCATTAGGCCCTTGTCAAAATTACTTTTTTGCCTTTCCTAATTGCTACAGCACAGCCCTGATTTTAACTGTGGTTTTCTTTTAGTATTCATAGCTGCTGAAGCTCAGAAGCTTCCTTTGTCTTTTGTTTTTGCTGCTGATAATGGAATCTATTGTTGATCAGCTGTGATCATAAGCAGCCAGAGCTACTGTTGGCATTTCTTTCTCTTACTGTTCAGTAAGCAGGTGGATACAACAGCTCTTCCAGGTATTGACATGATCTACTTATCAGGTAGTTTGGGGCTACACTTGGAGAATCAGTGTATAGTTAAGAAGTGTTTCAGCTGAGGCACTGTTTGCTTGTAGCAAACTCCAGTGTAAATTTTTGCAGTGTAATCAAACATGTAAGTTTTATCCCTAGGAAAAAAATTGTGTAAGTTTTGAGTGCTTCTGAGCTCAGTGATTAAATTAATATAAATTAGCAAAAGTAACGTCCATCTTTCTAGAGTAAACTGCTGGGCTTACAACAATTTCTCAGCTGTAAAATTACCCCGAGTTAACTTATGAAGCCATTGGTAATTAAAGAAAATACATTACATTTCAGTCGTAACAAATACATTACAACAAACAACTAGTAAAAAAGAGGATCTCTATGTAAGCTGTGATACAAACAGGCTTCATTTCAGACCAATTGGAAGATTGATTCAGCATCTCCA